TGATTATGACTAACTCTAGCAAGTTTTAGCTAAATATCTTCAAAAATGGCCAAGTTATACGCATTATTGCAAAAAATTCACAATTATTAATTTTTCAAATCAATTTTTCAGTACGTATTTGGCATCGTACACCAATATAAATGGCACCATCGTGTTCCTGAGCTCAAACTGCATCCAATAGACACCTTTTTTGTTGAAAAATTTTAACTTCAAAATTTGACCTTTTTTGACCTGAAAGTGACCTGACCTAAGCTAATTTCGACTCAAAATGACCTTGAATGACACAGACGACATCAAATTCGAAATCTATGGCCTAAATGGACCATAAAACATGTGTCACGTGACCGACTCATGATATAATATTTTCGTGACCTGTGATGACCTGACCCTGACCTGAAAATCAAAGTACAAGTTTGGTACCCTCAAGGTATCTAGAGCATCTGTTCACGAGTGTGGAAACCAAAAATGAGCCTGATCTGACTTGTATGACGGCGGCCAGAGCCCAAAATGTGAACAAGCCAAAGTGCTAATAATTTTTACTTTGACCTGACCTGTGACGTCATCGGTGACCTCGAGGTCAATGAAATTAGGTTTCGCTCGACAGTTTTTCCGGGGCTATCAGACGCCGTTTGAATTTTGACGATCGGCCCAGTAGTTTCGGAGTTAGGAGGAGGGGCTATGAATAGCCCCCCCCCCAGTAGGGCGTGTTATACACAGACCCCAGTGGGGCGCGGGTTAAGACGCACACTGGTGGGGCTATTTTTCGCCCCCCCCCCCCGTATCTTCGAAACTATTGGACGGATTCACAAAGCTCAAACGGCGTTCGATAGCCCTGTTGCCTTGAGAAAATTAATTTCATTGACCTCAGGGTCACTGATGACGTCACAGGTCAGGTCAAACTTAAAATTTTCACCGTTCACGGGGCTACGAACATCTTAGTAATTTTTAAGCAATTTGGACAATGCGTTATTACATTGATTAAAAGGCGTTTTATCGAGAATCATCGATAAAGCGTTGGTTGCCTAGTACAGATGTTGCTAAGAGACGTCACAGATACCAGGTCAGGTAACCTAGAGGTCAGGTCACCAAGGGTCAACACAACCCAACTTTACTAGGGCCGTGTGATGCATGTTTTGTGGCCATTTTTTTCATTTCTAACTCAATGGTTTTGGTTAGACGGCCATGAGGGACGGTTTAGGTTACTTTCTGGTGGAGGTTAGGTCAAGGTCTGGTAAAAAGGTCAAAGTTCGAAGTTGATACTTTTGCATAAAAAGAGTACCTATTTCGATGTACCTCATCACGGGGAATCCAATCGGTCGCAAAACGTCCTCAATTTTGCGACCGATACCCCCAAACCCGATTACGACACGCTGACGAAGTTTTGTGATACAATTCGAAAGCTCCGACCCAAACGATTTCTTGGGGGATTGAAGTCCGGATGAACTTATAAAATTCCGAGACATACAAGTTGTAGGTAGCTACCAATGGCCTTATTACATCGTGCACTTCAACTTTCAAGGACTCGGGCAGCTACTGTAGCTCTGAAGTGGTGACAAAATTGCAAAAGTGTTTTATAAAACATATTCTTCTGTGCCTTCTGATGCGATAGTCCGGCACTATACAGTGTAGCTCATGCTGATGGCTCATGCAATAACCTGAGTTTGGAACATCTAGGATATACCTGAACTGGGTGACCTAAACTTCTGAGACCGGGGTTCCACAATTTCACACGCGATTAGAAATTGATGCATGATAAGCTATGCCAAGTTTCGCGGCGCTTTTACGGGCAAAAATAGCAAGTTTGACAAAAAAAAAAAAACGCCCCACTTCCCCAAGCGAGGATTAATGAACCAAACACTATGAATGTGACTGAAGCTGCTTTCCTGAACCTCATTCATTATTCCTTATGAATGATTATTCCTTATAGCTTTTTCATTATTCCGGTTTCTCCCTATCCGTGTGTGTCGGCGCGGGTTCGGCCCAATGTGGTTCGACTGAGAGCATGACATCTGGTCCTTTCCGCTCGGCCTGACCGGCGCGGCGGACCCGTGCCACTCCTCCCCGAACTCGCGGGGCGCGGATGGGGAGGGGCGGCCCGGCAGTCCAACCCCTCTGCGCTGACAGATGGATGGACAGGGGAAATGTGATACTTGTCCTGTGACAACAAACCGGCGTTCAGCGCTAGGGCCATCTACTGGTCTAGAAACGTATCTCTATGTCGGCAAGATCCTCGCCAGGTGGTGTAAAGGTCGCGTGAAACGCACCCTTAAAAGGTAGGAGGTTCAAACCTGCACACCATTTGTAAAATTGATGAGGTTATAGTCATACCAAATTTCGCGGCGCTACGCGCCGCGGTTTTCCCGCTATTCGCGAAAAACCTCAGGGGGGGGGGCGGATATCCGCCCCCCCGTCGGTGCGCGGGTTAACCCTCGCCCGTAAACGGCGATCTGCCACCTTCGCCCATGCAGGGGGGGGGGGTTGGTGCGACCCCCCCCCTTGGCGTTTGAAAACGGAGCGTCGTAGAGCTTAGCGGAAAAGACCAACGGATTGCTCTCGTCGAGATCTCGCGATTGGTGGTATATTTTTTGGTCCTAGGTCAACATTTGACCTACTTTTGACCGGTCAAAGGTCAAATTTTCGGAAAAATAGACTTTTTCAAATTTTCCGCGGCGATTGCGGCAAAACGGTGGGAGATATCGACTTGAAATCTTCACTATCGTGTTCCTTGATCAATTCTCTATCGTTTGGTATGTATTTCGTTTCCCTAGCTCTACATTTGTAAAAATGGCGCGTTGGGAGCGCCGGAAGTCGGCAAGGTCACAGTCGGCGGCAGAAATTCGAAAAATCAAAATTTAAATTTTTGAAATCTGATTGTATTTTTGGATTTGGGATGTCCATTTGCTCCCTATAGAAGCTAATATTGCTGCATATTCCCATTGAGGTGACAAAAATTATCAAAATAGTGGTTCGGGCGCTTTTCAAAAATAGTACCGGACGCTGTTCCTCTTGTGACGTCATAGCTCCGTGACCTGACCTGACCCGGTCAAGTTTCTTATACCATATGATAGCCAATACTTGCCCCAACATGCATGGGAAGTTTCATCACGATCCATCAACCGATGTCCGTACCACCGGCAGGAAACCTCGGGCGTTGGCACTCAGTTTGTGAAAATCCGGCCGGAGGCTGTTCCCTTTGTGACGTCATAACTCCGTGACCTGACATGACCCGGTCAATTTTTTTTTATCAAAAGATGCGCAAGGTTTGCCCCATAATGTACCCAAAATTTGGCGGCGCTGCGCGCCGCCTTTTTTGCACTATTTCCGAAAAACCTCAGGGGGGGTTGCACCAACCCCCCCCTACATGGGCGATGGTTAAAATGCTTTCCCGGTTTTCAGAGACGATTTTCGATTTTTGGCCCCAAAATTCGGTTTTTGACCCACCGTGTCCGATGTAATTGAGTAATCGACTCGCGGTAACTTTCATCGCCTTTCCTATGCCACAAGCTTTCGAATGATATCTGGTTTTGCATATTTGCGTGCAAAAATAACGTCATAAATCTATGTTAAAGTGAGAAAATGTTGAAATTTTGTAAAAATTTGACATTTTTTCGATTTCATTTCAAAATAGAGGAAAAACTAAAGGCCCTATCCAAATTCTGAGCCCAGTTCCTTGAAGAGCATTCAATTTCCGTTCGGAAGGTACCTTTTTAGTGCATTTTATCGGATTCCTGTGGCGTCCAGATTGAGTTAACCTAAACATATATCCTAAGTCATATCACATAGCATGCATGATAACGTATGTTAACGCCATAGGATCAACGAGGGGTCAACTGAGGTCATGTTGTTGACCCCTTGTGACCTCGGGTCACACGCAGGAACTTACTTTTGAGCAGCCCTGTCGCTCAGAATCTTGATCTGTACCTCCATTTGTTAGAATGATTCTTCATGCACTGAACACATTGTCATGGAAATGGCTGGGGGCCCGTTTTTCAAGTGACTCAATCTGGACGCCACAGTAAACCGATAAAATGCACTAAAATAGTACCTTCCGAACGGAAATTGAATGCTCTTCAAGGAACTGGGCTCAGAATTTGGATAGGGCCTTTAGTTTTTCTCTATTTTGAAATGAAATCGAAAAAAAATGTCAAATTTTTACAAAATTTCAATATTTTCTTACTTTAACATAGATTTATGACGTTATTTTTACACGCAAATATGCAAAACCGGATATCATTCGAAAGCTTGTGGCATAGGAAGGGCGATGAAAGTTACCGCGAGTCGATTACTCAATTACACCGGACACAGTGGGCCAAAAACCGAATTTCGGGGCCAAAAATCGAAAATCGTCTCTGAAAACCAGAAAAGCATTTTCAGATCAAAACAAATGCCCATTTCGGTTATAATGGGACCCAATGAGTCCAAAAAATCGGTCGTTACTCAGGAACAAAATGCCTGTTGCATAGTGTTATAAACGTTACAGTTAACCATATTTTTATTTTCTTCAAGTGTACGGTAATTGCTCGAGCTCCAACTCACGCATACCTGCTAATTGCTATTCCCGTAATTGTTGACAGAGACCTCTGGCAGCTCTGTCAATTCACCCATTTACGGTCCTTATTACTATTCTCTTTTTTAACTGTCAAATCTATCCTTACCTATGGTCAATACTATTTACTACTATACTATTGACTCAATAGGTGGTAGGGAGCAGGCACCCATACAGTCCGTGATCTATTGAATCCGAAACTAAGGACTGTGGTCACTTTTTTTGTCGCCGAATGAATTCTTTTATGTGTTACAAATAATACTTTTACAACTCTATAGCGAATTTGTTTCCCTCAGTTTTGTTGCAGTTCGAAAACTGTCCACTTCTTTGTCGGTACAAACCGATTGTGCTCCCTGTTTTGACCTAATTTGTATCGCAAATATAATATAAAAAGAGCTAGCAATCACGGAATACGAATGGACAAATATGTCTATGTGATACGAACTGCGCCACACAAGTGCACTGAAATTTATTATTCATCATCAAATGCACATCTTATTGTATCTGAGCCCCAACAGCAACCAACACTTCATAATTTGCATACTGTTTCTGCAGCCGTCCGTGCCTCATTTGATTCGACCGTTTATGCTTCTCTGTCGGAAGCCTCATCAGTCCTCAATATCACTAGCATTCAGCTACCCTTAACACTTTCAAGACATTTGAAAAAAAACGCTCATTTCTACCACAACAAGGCACCGCAGATATCATTTCATATCCGATATATCATTAACGTTATACAAACAATATTGCGTCAGTCTGCAAACGGCTAACAGTCATGGACATATCTGACCAGCAAAAACATACAAACACTAAGAAGAATCAGCACCAATGTTCGATCAATTTCATCCTAGTAATGACATAAGCTCCAAAATAAGCTCCACAATTGACTGTGTTACTTGTTAGTCTTTGACTGCGTGGCAACTACATCACCAACCGTTTGAACCTTTCCCGACATAGTCCTAAATGTATGCGTTCAAGTTTCAACCGACAACCAGAAGCTCATAACAAGTATAAACAATACAAAAACGTCAATTGCTGCTCCTTGTAGTGTCATCAAGGAGGGGTATGCATGTCCAGGCTCATAGGCCTGTTCAGGACCGGCACAGCTCCGTAACCAAGACCGCCGAGACTGGAGAACTCGCTGCTCCCACACGCGCCCGACACTGAGACTGATCTGACTGCAGGTGGCGAGACCATCGCGGAGCAGACGTCCGAGGTGACGCCACCAGCGGCCGTCCGGAGTGCGCAGTCGGCTGCAGCGGACTTGGTGGTGCCCAGCCGATCGGTCCGAGGCGCCCCCTCAGAGGGGGGCGTTTCGGACTTCGATGCTGCCACCCGCGCCTCCTTCACTGATTCCGAGCTCGAGTCTGAAAATAGTATATAAATAGTATATAAGTTTAACCCTCGCGGGCCCGGAGGGGACGTTTTTCGCCCCCCCCCCCCCTGGCGAATATTTGCGATAGCTCCCGAACGCTTAGGGATAGGAAAGCGAAACTTTCAGTACCTTTTCTCCCATCAATTTGACATCTTCTGAAGTAAAAAATTTGGACCTAGCCCCCTTGATGACATCACAAGGTCCATTTTTCTAGACCCTTGCACGGCAAACTTCGGCGTCACAGACGCAAACTTCAAATAGCTGCTAAAAATAGAGTTTTAGAGATAAAGACAAATTACGAGAACGGTTGTGTAGCGTTTGACCTAGAGAAAAACAGAAAAATAGTTTTGGTGACCTGAGGTCAGAGGTCAGGTCAACGACCCCCAGCTGTGGTTTTAGTTTTTCGCAAATAACTTCGACAAAAATGGTCCTAGAGCTACGGCAGTGGTACCATCGCATTCGCCTTGTCAAGCCGCGTCAAATGATATATATTTTGTTAGGAAAAGGTCAAGTTTTATGTTGACCTCATGTGACCTCAAATGACCTCTGGTTGACCTTGACACATGAAAGGTCGTTTATGATGGATTTGTACCCGCTGATCACGAATCTGGCGTCTATTTTCCTCTAAGCCTTCATTTAGAGCTTCCGGATGGCAAAATTGTCTTATTTACTATTACTAACTTGAATTAGTGAAATAGCCTCTAGCAGGGATACTCTTCTGTGACCTTGACCTTTGAGCAGCCTTGTATCGTAAGATGAACCACAAATAGGGAACTGAGAAGCCTCAAAACATTTCAAAACACCTTGAAAGTTAGCACGCAAGATGTGCGAAAAAGTGCCAAGTTTGAGGTCAATTTTGAGCGTGACCTTGACCTTGACCTTTGATTTTGAGCACATTTTCAGAAACCTCAGATTCTCTTCTTTCGTTTGACACCCAATTTTGCCGGTTTGATGCAGCCTGCCGTCCTCTAGAAGGCTTACTTTGAGATCACTACACATGTGCCGGTTTTTGCCTTTGACCTTGACCTCTGACCTTTAAAATTTACCTGAAGTCAAAAATTTAGATGCATTAGAATCGTCTCGTAAGGACCTTTCGTTTGGCATCGCTTTTGTTTCCGTAGCTCCCTTATTTACGGAGTTAGACAGGGGGGGGGGCGAAAAACGCCCCCCCGGGCTGCGGTGGTTGGGATTACCCCCGGGCCCGGCCGGGCTAAAGATTGCAATTACGGGCCTGTATACTACTTCACAGGACTTTAATTAGGTAGGTAGACAGATTGCAGTTCCATGCCCATGTTTTGAAACGCTACCACATTTTGTGATCACGATGTGAAACAAGGGACCAAATTTTCATTCAACCTGAAAAATCAGATAAAATGTTATACTATGTAGAATAACGGTATCATCTGACTAAAAAAAATATCCTTGCATCTCCGAAGCTATAGGTACATACCTATAAGTTCCGAGCCCGCAGTGGACATGCCCGCAATTAGGTACCTACCTACCTACCGCAGGTATCTTTGATTTTATGCATTTTTTACCCTCGCCGGTACAGGGGGTTGATGCAACCCCTCTAAGGTTATTCGCGAATTACTCGTGTAAAAAGCGGCCGATCGCGACGAAACTTTCAGTACCCTCGGATTGATCAATTTTACACCTACCTTGAAAATTTCATTACTCTGACCCAAATGACCTTTGACCTGTGACCTACTTTCCGAGACCACGTTTGGCCGGAATCGTGATTCGGCGTATGTCGGCTCGCATTAGCCGCGCGTTCGCAAGCTTTTCGTGGTTTTAAAGGTTCAAACATGTGATTAGATGTTTCTCCCATGCATAAGGGTGGATGTCAAGGTCACCTGAAGGTCAGGTCAGGTCATTGACCTTTGGTGACCTCGGCTCACTTTTTCGAGTTTTACATGTTTCTAGGCTAGTTTTTGGAGCTGATTTCGAATTTAGCAACCAGTTGAACATTTACAAAGTAGTTTTGGTGCCTTCGTAACATGTTACGGTGATGTCAGAGGCGGTTGACACGTATTACGAATACCCGTCACGACCCCTGCCGGTTGACCTGACCTTACCTGACCCGACCTGGTCTAAATGCTTAAAGACATCATCTCTGATCAAAACTAGCACGATATTCATGATCAGCACCCCGGAAAACTCCATGGCAGCCACACTTTACGACTTTCTCAAATCTAACAGGTTCCGATTTTCCCGATTTTCGGGTCATTGACCTGACCTGGAAGGTCACCCGATGACCTAGGACCTTAAAATTGGATATCATGGATATCATCGGCTTCCTCTCGTGACGGGCAACACGCTCGTTTTTTTCCGCGAAGCTCTAGCTCGATCAGGGGCTAAACGCGAGGGGGTGTCGTATCCCCCCCCCCTTGTGGCCGTCGAAGGACACAAAATGGCCTGTGCCGGCGAGGGTTAAATGTTACTGAGCCCTAAGAACCTTAGACTATTAGTCAAGGGAAGAAGTCAGTGATGAAGATACTAGATAGGTACATACGTTGTCTCGTACTAAGCAAAGAAACACTTGTAGGAGCGCAATGAGTGAGGCATGCGTGTGACTTACTTTCTTTCTTTTCCTTTTCCTCTGCCTTTTTCTTCGCCTTTGGTTTGCGTTTCCGGGTCTGTATGCCGTCTTTCCTCATTGACAGAGGACGTCGGATGCCATGAAGCTTGAAATACAGCCCGCACGCGTTGCATACCGGTTCACCTGAAGAAAACAAAAACGGGAGGCTCTTTTCAGTTTTACTCAGAGGTGATGTTCTACCACATGGCATTTTTACATTTCCAATCTTCGACAGAATCGAAGAATAAACACTGCCGTCTTACCGCCAATGTGGCAGTAATGAGAATATTACCTACTGCAAAAGGGGGCTCATATTGATCTGATTACATTTTCGCTTTCCTATTTTTTGTTTCAATTTTGTCAATATAATTCCGCTTTCACCCTCATTAGTGGCAGGCTCCTGGCCACTCCAATTAGTGGCAAGGGGGGCTGTTTAGGACCCTTTGATATCTCGAGATCTAACAGGACGATTTTCAAAATTCAAACGGCATTCGATTCAAATACGGGGGCAGTACCCTAACCCATCCGGGATAACCCGTCGACCGGCCTTTGCACTGTCGCAGGCCTGGCCGGTGGCAAGTGTATCACGGGGCGGTGCGGGCGGGGGTGTGGCGACGGCCCGTCCGGACGTCTGGGGAGGTAATCTATAGCACTCCCTAGGCGGGGAGGTGACCTACAGATCTCCCCGGGGCGGGGACGGTCCGAGCCAATGTTACAGGTGCCGCGTCCTCTGCCTGGCCGGACGGGCCACACACACCCGCCGATGAAGGTCAGGACAACCAATGTGTCGAATGATAAATGTATCTGCATGTTCGTAGGTGAAATGAATGTTCTTCAATGTAAAACACGGGGGCAGCAGGGGGGTAAAAACTGCAAAGTTCAGAGGCCTTTTCAACTGCTCACGCACGGCCATGTTTTTCAACTAATTTTGACGCAACGACTGCCAATCGATGCAGAATGAACCGGAAATTAGCATGCATCATTAAAATGGGCATTCCGAAAAATCATAGGCGGATGCAGGTAAATGTATTTGGGAGGTACTTGAAATACATAAAAATTCGGGTTTTTTCCGTTGTAGAATTACCCAAACGGATTGGCATGGTCTTATGATTTTACAAAATGAGTGATAGAATGACTATTATAATAAAAGTAGATTGGTAATTCATAGGCGGCGCCAGGGCACTTAAGTTGGGAGGTGAAATCGACCTCCCTCTCTGCTTTCCTGGATCCGCCTATGATCCATCTCATACTCACTTGTGAGCCTGTAATACCTACAAATATTGTTAATCCACCTACAGAATAAATAGCTACAGTTATAATGCACCAGTATAGTGATCTTCACCCAAATGACTCACTTCGTGAATAGGACCTCCCAATTCCTAATGCCCTGGAACCGCCCCTGATAAAGGTATCAACTTGAAAATTTCAGAGAATGTGCCCAGTTTAGCTCTATGAGAGTTCAGAGAATTTCAGCATCCTAGCCCCAACCGTTGTTTATCTTCGTTGTTGCACCACCACAGCGTGGTTTGCGTGGTGGATGTTTGTAGGTACCTTCATTGTTACACTACCGTAGCGTGGTTTGTCTGGTGAAGATGTAAGATGAGTAGTTAATTACCTTCATTGTTGCGCCGCCAGAGCGTGGTCTGCGTGGTGCCACAATTGGTGCACATGGAGTGGAATCGCCGGGCGTACGGAGACTGGAAACAAACCGAGCGAGGGATGACATCAAACGACGTGGTCATGTGAACGTATATAAACATACACAAATGAGAAATTCGGAGAATATGCCACCCAAAGATAGACACGTTACATTGATCACAACACTTGTCAAAGTCACGATACCAGACACACAGGATGATATCAGCCACGCATCCCTTCTGGCAGCCGGGCTATTTATGGATAAATTTTTAAACAAATGTCATTGTTTCGTCTCAGAAAAAAGAAGCAGGGTTCCAGGACGCTACTGGCGGCGCGGGGGGAGACCCGATCTACTGACCCCGCGGCGTGTGTTGAAGAGGCGCGGGTGCGCGATGCCCTTCCACTTGGGGTTGCAGAAGCAGGCGCTGCAGAGGAAGTGGCCGGTGCCGTCCGGGTAGCACGACTGGGTCACCGTGCCGCACTGCACGCACTCCCGAAACTCTGCAACCGAACCGCCGACACACCGTCACTATCAGTATACAAACACCGTATAGGAGCAGTACGGTGTCCCCAGATTCCATCGTATTCGTAACTCGATAGTATCGGTATTGCTGTGTTGAGCACAAGGCTTCTAAATGATCGTTATATGCTGGTTTACTGTTTATAAAACTTAATACGTATATAGGGATGCTGGTCGCTACTGCAGACCGCTTGTTGTTCATTTGTTGCCGCTTCGAATGCCGTCAGGGTCACATAACGGTTTTACTAGTTATAAACTTTACATTGCACAGACTTCATTAGTGGAGTATTTTCGATGAAAGTCAACAGTCAAACGGCGCATTAAAATACCATTTGTCCCCATCCATCGAAAGCATAGGAATTCTTGTAGTGGATGTGACGATGAGAATGTCATGTCGGACAGGTATAAGGCCGCATTTCAAAGAACAATTATATGAGCACTTTTACAGGTTATGGAAAAGAACAGTTGTGGAACCGAAAGGTTCCACGTCCAACGCTGCTAGCACCTGTATTTACGCAACGTCGGTACCGCTCCCAAAGCCGTTATTTACGTACCGTAGGTGCCGCTCCCAGAGCCGTTATTTACGTATCGTAGGTGCCGCTGCCAGTGGCGGCATTTACGTACCGTAGGTGCCGCTGCCAGTGGCGGCATTTATGTATCGTGGGTGCCGCTCTTCGCGCCCCGTATTTACGTATCGTGGGTGCCGCTCTTCGCGCCCCGTATTTACGTACCGTAGGTGCCGCTCCCAGCGCCCCGCACCCCGTATTTACGTACCGTAGGTGCCGCTCCCAGTGACGGCATTTACGTACCGTAGGTGCCGCTTCCAGTGGTAGCATTTACGTACCTTAGGTGCCGCTCCCAGCGCCCGCATTTACGTACCGTGGGTGCCGCTCCCAGTGGCGGCATTTACGTACCGTCGGTGCCGCTCCCAGCACCCCGTATTTACGTACCGTAGGTGCCGCGTTGCAGCGACTGCAGGCCGGCCATGTTGTTGCACGGCCAGGCCATCATGTTGCCGGCCGGGTAGCCGTAATGGCGCGGCAGGGCCTGCGCCAGACCCGAGTGCGTCATGTCGCGGCCGCCGGTCAGCTTGAAGCCGCCAAAGTTCATACCCAGCTGCGGGTGGCCGGGCTCCGAGCAGGCCGGCACGGTGCCGCCCTGCCAACTGCACGCGGGGAGGGGGCAGGGGCTAAGTGACTTTTATGGACAGGATAAGGTCAGCTGACAGACCCTATCAATACAAACGAATCTTCAATTACCAACTCTTTAGAGTTGTTAAAAAAAAACTGCCGAAACCAGCCAGCACAAGCCACCCATTTATCACCTGCGACCCCGCAGGTCTGTTGTGTCCGCCACGCCATTGATTTTGCTACTAACCTGTTGCAGGCGGTGCCGGTGACGCCCGTTGGTGAGCTGGCCATGTGGGACGTCTGGCCCGTCATGTGCTGCAGGCCGAACAGCTGGTGGGCCGGTGGGACGCACACCCCGCCCGACAGGTAGCCCCCGCCGCCGCCGCCGCCGCCGCTGCTGCCACCCGCCCCGGCGCCGGGGCTCTCCAGGCCGTACCCGCCTCCGCCGTGAACGGCGCCGTGGTACATGGCCACGGTCACAGGTCACGGGTCACAGGTCGCAGGTCACAGGTCACAGAGAAAGGATTAAAGGTCACGGGTCACGGAAAATGGGCACGGACACGGGATACGGACTCAGATCACAAGTCACAAGGTACGAAATATATCGTACGTGTTACGGAGTAAAGATCACGGATTGCAAGTCGTAGTCCACAGGACAGGATGATGGCTCGGTCATGCGATTGAGATCTTTCAGCTACAGCTTCCAGTTTCGGTAGACGTCCACCAGGCTCGTCCACTTCGTTTTTCGTTTCGTCGTCGAATATGCTGAACTATCCTTCACTTGTGCCTCCTGAATCAGGGTCACTTGTCGCACAAGAATCAAGATCTCTGATCAGTGCTCAGTCAGACTGAACAAGTAACGTTTTTGTGAGCGCCAGCAGCTCCGATCACAGTTCCATCACAGGAACTGAACCGACCTTATTCTGACCTCTCTTAGCGCTTCGGAGCTGCATAAATCGGCTCTTGATAAGTGATAGATTGGCACTTCGAATCACAAGTGATTCTTTCAACAAGTCGACTTGCTTGCTTCCCCAGGTTCGCAGCACGTCGGTTGCAAGGCAGAAGGTGCTCCAGAAAACTTCGCTGACGCTGTTTCCTGAAAAGAAAAGAAAATTGAAACGTTAAATACAATACAGCTTTACAGGGTTAATGCTTACTTTATAATCGCCAAACACTGTCACTAATTCAGTTGGCGCTTTGAATCTCATCCTCACTAGCCTCACCCCACCCGTCCCCTGTTCCTCCTCTCTGTGCCTCGCTGCGTCACATGACCGTCCTCCTAACTTGTCAGCGCCAACGGCCGATGACGGAGCGCGCCTCACCCGTCCCTGCGCGTCACATCGTCTTTGCTGACCCGTCACACCGTCACCGGCGACGCGTTGGGGCCGACGGCTTCGTTAGCGGCGACAGGTAGGCTCGCGTGCCACCGCCGCCGCCGCCGCCATCTGGCTCCAATGAAGACATGAGCGGCAGGCGGCGGGCGGCGGGCGGCGGGAGACGGGCGCGGGAGACGGGGCCGGGCGGCGGGCGCCCAAATAGCCCCATGCTCGTCCATCAGCCGTTTCATTAGACACGTCGCGTCGGGGACGTCGTGTCGCCGTGATGGTCGCTGTCGACGGCGACGGCTGCCGACGGGGAGAAGAGGGGAGGGAGGGGAGAGCGGACGAGGGAGAGGGTGCGGTGATACGGTGCGGGGACAAGTGCTGGAGTTAGTTTTAGTGAAAGTGTGAGAGTGGCCGCTATAGAAAGACAGTTTAGGATGACTACGTGTGATGGGCTGTGATCAGACTGGCTCATCACGGATGGCGCTACATGATTTAGTTGTAACTGATCCGTAGTGGCTAGTGGGATTGCAGATGAAATCTTTTTATGCGGTAGGTAGGCATGTGGATGTTGTTGTGCCCATGGTAAGCGTTGGCCATATAGAACGAAATATTTCACCAGTATAACGCCTTTTGGGGCGACTAACGGAGCGAGCGAGAGGGTGAGCCTTGCACGTGCGAAAATTTCGACGGGGTACCTCCAGCTGACTTGTGCATGGCACCCTACTAACCGGTCGCTAGCGATGTGCCAAATTTGAGCACAATCGGCCCAGCCGTTCTCGAGATCTGGAAGCGGCACCCTGCACGTGCGCACGTGCAAAATGGGTCCCAACTGACTTTTGCACGGCACCCTACTAACCGGTCCCTAACCATGTGCCAAATTTGAGCGCCATCGGTCCAGCCGTTCTCGAGATCTGCAATCGACCCCTGCACGTGCGCACGTGCAGCAGAACCCCAATTCTGGCACATGGATATGCATTGCCTTGTGAGTTGTGGGTGCCTACCTACATGCCAACTTTCAGCGCAATCGGCCAAGTAGTTACCGAGATATTGCAACAATTACAAAAGTGACACCTCTTCGTTTTGCACGTGGCACGTGCATAAGAGGTCACTCACATGCCTCGGGAATAGTCCAATACTTGGTAGAAGGAATGAAGCTACCCTACAAAAATTACCGCGTGTAAATCGATCAAGTGGTTGCTGAGATATAAGCGTCGCAGAATCGTGACCACGGCCGGCCGGCTGGCCGGCCGCTCATACTCATAAATTTCCGTTAATCTAAGGAAAGACTACGCTCGCTTCGCTCGCTCCGTAATGAAGACATTTCCGAAAAAAACTATTTTTAGTGAACTTACGAACGTGAAATAGAAATTGAAAGCAAGCATACGCGCAGAAAATGAAGCAGCTGAATGAATCAGCAAATGGACAATTGCATACAATTGTGATGGACGTTTGCAGGTCCGTGGGCTACGATCGGCGACAACATTACAACGTCCCACAGAGGATCGACCCACACCGTGCTCCGTGCTAACCGTCTTCCGTGCTGTTTTCGTGTCTCAATAGTCACAGGCGTATGGCCCAGGGAATTGTCCATTGCTCATGGAACTCCACTGGGACCTCTCGCTGTCGTAGTGTGTTGGCTCTATTTATACAACGCTGGTTTTCTGAAATAGCAAGACACTGGTCGCTGTGGTCAGAAGAACCATGGCTTCGCCTGCACCGATATTTGGGGACCGTTTGACTGACAGTGCCGGAAACATTGGTCTTTGATCAGCCGCATTGTGGCATATTTAGTCGCTAAACGCATAAACGTCCAGCAGAAATATTCAAATAAATACACACACGCCGCATGCGTGTTTCCTCTGTGAAATGCCGCCGCCACGAGCGCGTTCCGACGGAGACGCCGACACCACTCCAGACAGTATTTGTGGCCGCGACTAATGAGACGATGAAACATCCCCGACGGCGCCCTGTGCTAATTTTCCACTAACAAATTGTCTGCGGAGTCGTCCGAGTTAAATATGGACACATATTTCACTCGAGCTGGTGAGGGATGCAGTGTTGTATTTTCGGGGCAAGCGGAGAGCGTGGAAAGTGAGTTAAGACGTCAATTCATTATCAGGCTTATCTAGCACATGTTGGGGATGAATGCTGGGACAAAAAGACGGGCCAACAGAAGCAGCAAAAACGCCCTCTGCATCTAAATCTCCATGACTTGAATGGGGTTAAATGGGCTGGTATGTGCTATTTGCCAGTCTAATTAGTTTCCTAGTGCCAAGAAATGAGTCTTTGGCGTCGCTTATATACACCGTGGAAGATCTGAAATCTTAACACCTTTATTGGATAATGGATTGCTTTGTCAAAATTATTTAAATGAAGATAAGGCAAAAAGGGAAAGAAAACAACTTTACGAAAGTTTCACATAAAGTCAGAGGCCAAAATAAGTATAAAAACGTAATACAGTCCAGGGATACATTCCATACACGCGCCTGGTGTTACGACTGAGCTTATTCAATTCAGCTTGTATCATTGCCATTCTCAAAATAAAGTGCAACAGCATTCGAATGGACAAGTTATTGATTGTCGATTGCTTTGTGCATATAACGCAATCTTTTGTGGTGAGCCACGTCACTTTGTCACTCTTCTTATATTGATGCAAGCGAGACCATCATGTGGTCGACCCGTACTGAGCGACATGACCGACCCGTACTGAGCGGCATAACCGACCCGTACTGAGCGACATGACGTTTGCACTCAGCCGTGTCAACTGGTCCGCTCGGCTGAAAATCGCAGATGACCGGGGTGCGGCAGGCTGCTCTCAGCCGCTTCGACAGCCAAGGACCCCACTCGGCAGAGAGCTGTGGATATATTCTCTCTCAGACAGAGAAATACCCATACAGATCTTCTCTCTCAGACAAGGGAATTAGGCACTCGCATCCATTCGTGGAATGATTTAGAAACACGCCATGGCTTACCTAGGTGACTAGGTCTGTTTCTCTCATTTGGAGACATACCAAGCAGCCCTTGAACAGTTCATCTGAAGCCTACAAGCGAACTTGTGAGCGGAACCCAAACTCATGAGTTGTCTCCAGCCGGTGAATATGACAGCTTTTATCGGACCAAGACAGTCTCCCGAAAACAGGATTTACATCTTCTGGAGAGAAAGCAAGGAAGGTGGACTCACTTCTCCCTGAAAGAAGATGCATGTCTTCGGAAAGAGGACTTGCATCTACCGAATAGAGGACGCGTTGTCTCTCCGGGAAAAGATTTGCGGCTTCAGTTATTGCTTAGAACGGATGGCTCATCGTTCCGGCACCGAGTCTTCAGCCTCACCCGTATATATTTACTTCGGACATCGTTCACATCCATCTTTGCTTCGATGGGACTCAAATCCATCTCCGCACGCACGTCCCTCGCTACTGCCGTGGTATATATCTGCAGACGTGACTCCGTTCATTTGCTGCGAACGGGCTCACATCGACGTCGATCGGCGACGGCGCGCGTCGGACGGACCGTTAGGGACATCTGGTCTCGTCGTGAACTGCACCCGCCCAGAACAGGCGCTTCCGGCGCAAACATGGTGCAAAACATCGCTCTTATCGGCTCTGTGCATCCAGAAACGTAAGCACTCGTTCGACGTCTGCTCATGGATATAGTAGAGGGATCACGATTGATGTTCTTATGTGCAGATGCGTCACTATCCTTCACAGCTTATATGAATGACGCGCTGCTTTTGATAAACACCCTTATTCTACTTTTAGTCGTTAACGAAAACCGGAGACTCTCAAGCTGTTCATAAGGAAAATTCCCGAACTGACCCACAAGAGCACCTAGCGAGAAAGGACTGCGATTTGCCACAACTTCGTCAATATTTGGGATATCTTTTTGCGCGTTACTGCGCTATACACTTGGAAGAATTTACAGTAATCATCACAGAGTATTGGATTACATTGAAGGGTTCTGGACACTTGTTTACAGATTAAAAGTATTTCAGTGGCTGCTGAATAGCACGGTGAATGCTTTTGAGCTTTTTTTACCTGGAAGTCAATAATTAGGTATGAGTAGGTATGGTATGAGTTTATTACAAGTAGACCAATTATCAATATAAAGACCTGCCCAAGAAAATGTGTCAAATTAAGATCAGCTATGAAAGCCGTGTTTTATTTAGCCTACTGTACTGTGTAGTATTACACTTACTTAGACCCAGACACCCGTACCTACATGGGCCTATTTTACAAATCTAGTCAATGCGTTGCGCACAATGAAAATGAACATTTTACTATGCAATTTACTCTTTTTCAGTGACGCAACAGCAATAGCACATGCAAGCCGATACCAGATGGATAGTTTTATATTTTGATTTATCCAAATTCCTTTCTGAATTACGTCTGCGTGCATTCACGGACAGCGGGCATGTCAGCTGTTTTTTATCAGGGTTTCGTGTTTTGTAGCAACCGCCGACTATCTGTTGCGGCGGATGTCACCGCCGAGTTAGCCGCAGCCGCCTGCACGTCAGGACAGCCCGTCCGCAGTCGATCTGACCTTTGTCACGGCCAGATACCCGGAGCGCTCTGCGTCTGGCAGTGTAACGGTTTTTAGGGAATCGCTGGCCCTCTGATATCGATCACAGCCGGCGTATGATTGAAAGCTGCGCTCCAAACATTCGATGAGTTTACCTCATCAGTGGTCCAGCCGCATGCAGAAATGAAGTGTTTATCTCAAAAACTTGGCAGGTCCTGGAGATGTTGATAGCTTGACAGTGTTATCTGGGTAT